TTTAACAAAATTTTCACGTCACTTAATTTAAACGTCGTATTATTTCGCGCTACATCTCCTTTTACCTGCGCCCAGACTAATTCGATTGGGTTAAGTTCACAGTGATAAGGTGGTAACCGTAGTACCGTTATTTGGCGATTTGTTGCCATTTCATCGATAACATATTTTTTCTGATCTTTATTAAGATTGACAAGTGTCAAAAGTTCCTTTTTCACCATATTTGTTTCAAAAGAAATGTTTTTTCCGGATAACCATTGAATTATATCGGCTTTCCTCCAAGCAGTCGTAGGCGTCCGCTCGGTCTGCCGTGAATGGTAACTGGCATTATCCATGACAATTACAGACCCCGGAGGAATAAGATCCAACATCTGTGTAAAATACTCTTCGAAAACATCTGCGTTCATGTCTTCGTGATAGTCACCTGTATTTTTAGATTCAAATAAAAGTAAACCGCCATCTACAAAACCACTGGCACTACCTATATGTGTCACTATTAATCTTCGCCCTTTACCTGAAGGTGCCTTGAACCCTGTTGAAAGTCCATCCAAAAATGCTTGTCGAAAACTTTTTACATTTTTATCTTGCCATACTTTTGTTACAGTATATCCCTCGTTGACCCAAGTTTCGTCTAGATAATAAATATTCCTCCCTTCGTCACGGAATTTTCTAATTGATCTTAAGTAGGATCTTCGCCAACAAATAATTTCATCTTTATCGATAAGAACTGACTTCCTGTTCTGCTTTTCCCAGCAAAAATTCAACTCTCGTAAGACGGCCCATAATTTGCTTCTACTGATTTTTGGCAAATCGTTGTCCTCTGAAAGTTCACTTAAAATTTTGTTTAGCGTTGGTATTTCTTTTTTAAAATAAAATGAGTGTACTTTTCTGCGAATGACATTTTTGAAGAAATCATCTATAACGACTTTTGACCTCCCTGTAGATGATTTTGGGGGATTTACAGTATCTTGTTCATTTTTTGTTTCCTTTAAAAGTCTGTAGATAGTCGATTTTCCAATCCCTGTCATTTTTGTTAGCATTAGTGTTACCCGATAATTACCTGAAACGAAATATTACCACGCCCATGGCCAGTTCTATCTCGGGGTTTTATTACTCTCTTTCATTTCCAAACAGACTATAGAGTATTTCCTACAATTCCCATGCAAACGTTTAAACTGAAATTATGTTGACATCTTGAAACAAATATTTCATGAGTATTTTCTTCCGGCCATGAATGAACATTATGAAGGTTTACTGCACCTACTCTAGGAAAATTTGCTTCATCAGTGAAAAGCATATTCATTAGGAAATTTAAATTATGCCTAGAAATATTTATGTACCATTGACAAAAATCCACACGGTTAGGTAAATCAGGGTCATTCAATTCTTGCACGGGTTGATGGTGAAAAGGGTATGAAAGATTTTCATGAGCTACATCACACAAGACTGTGAGAAACTTGCAGTTGTCTGGACACCTGTCTTGTACTTGTATCATAGTCTTGTTCTAGATGTTCCAGTATAGCTTCCTCAGTTTCAACAGTTCGGACATTACATCTTCTTCCGGCACCCTCACGATTGGGCTGAATTTTACCAGTTTCGCGAAGCCTTCTGTCCACCGAGGCCAATGTTTGTCTATGAGGAATCGGTCGGTTTGGATATCTTTGGTGGTATAATCTTATTGCAGCGTTACTATTTTTTCTGGGTTCGAAACACACTTGGAGCATGTCGACATATTCGTCATTGGTATATATATTATTTGCCATAATTATTCTGATAATAAATTAATCAATTGGTACTAATTATTGGTTGACAGAAAGTGTCAATTTATTAATATGATAAATAACAATTTATTTGTTATGACATCCGCCTACTTTATTTTTACAAATTTTCGCAATTACCCTTTTAGTGTACGATGACGCATCTAACTTTTTTACTAGAAAAATATCGGTTTTATCGAAAAATTACAAGAGGTAAAAAAGTTGCGCAATAAATCAGTCTTCCCAATAAATATTTTTAAATAAATAATTTGCTTCATATAAAAAATTTCTAATAAAATATTGCAATGGGGTTGACTGTTTCACTCCTTTATAAAATACGCCAATGATCGAACAAATATTGAAAAGTTGTCGATTTATTAGTAGGATGCTCATACCAAGTTTCGTGTCTAATTCCTCATGTTAAAGAAAAAAATTAAAATGTGAATTTCAATCCCCTCCTTTAAGAGGTTATATCGCCTCAGGGGTGCAACTTTCATATAAAGTATTTTTACTTCAATCCTCTTATTTTTGACTCTACATTCACTGGTACCATTTTTGCTATTTCATTTCAAAACACCCTGTATATCAATGCAAGAACATCGTGATACAACCTGCCGCACCATTTCACAAAAAACGCCGCAGTTCATCTTTTTCTGCTAGATTTCACGATGCCGCATGTGTGTAATCACCAATTGGATAATCAAACTAACGCAAATTTAGATTTTCCCGTTTCCAATACAAATGTGTTTAATCCAATCTAATCTCTCACTAGGTTTGTGGTTTCAGATCCACTGTACTAAACTTAATATAGCTTATTGCTTGCACCCATGTGGTTGCTCTATCAGTGAGATATCGTTGATTATGGTATTGTCCACTTTACGTGATTCCATGTCAGCACGAAGTTTTACACCCCTCTAATTTATATGAAAATTATTCTGAACTATATCGACATTTTTTGTAGTAGCAGATTTTGAACTTTTATTTTGCTTTAAGGTTTAAGGTTTTAAAATATTTCTAGAAATTTTCCTAATTTCTCATCAATGAAATCATATGAACTTACACAGAGCCGTCCATTAGTGTGACAAAGTACAACAACTTTGTTATTGTTCGAGGTGCAAAAAAATCTATTTTCCTAAATTCTCATCAATGAAATCATATGAACTTACACAGGGCCGTCCATTAGTGTCACAAAGTACAACAACTTTGTTATTATACGAGGTGCAAAATCAATTAGTCCGTGTGCTGAACCCAAAGAGTTCCCTATAATTTCAGAACCACTAATCAGTACAGAAAAATATCCTGTATCATTTTAATTGAAAAGACTGGCTTCTGAAGTCAGTTCAACATGTATAAAAACGCCTAGCAATAAAATTTAATCAGTTTCATAGTCGTCCCTAAAAAAGTTTTCGTTTTGTTCCGTTTCAAAAGGTCTACAAAATGCCATGTTGTGATAATATTAGTAAACAAAATATCCCTCTTATTTCTCCCTTTCGCAATTGTAATATGAATGATTAATTGAAGGTGCCTATAATAAATTAAAATTACCTGAATCACACCAAATTTCGTATTGCTGCACTGCACTGCAAGAAAATTTGTCGACAACTGAAATTTATGGCCCAGTCGCCTAGTGCGGCTGTGTATGTGCGCCGTTTGTCCGCGCCCTCATTCCTCAACTGGGCGTATAAGGACCTGTATATGGGTATGGCCAGATAAATATGGGAACAAGTTTTTCGACTATTTCAATACCGAGTTGCTGCGTAGCGACCGAACCTGGTACATGCTGCCTAGCTCTTTGGTCTTCAATTGAGACCGGAAAGACTATACAATGATATGTAAATGTGATGCTCAATTGTTTTTTGGCAAATGATACGGATTTTTTGAAAATTTAGTGAACATTCCTCGCACTTTAGAAAATATTCCTTCGCGCTTGAAACATGCTTTGTAATATCAGGATAATTGCAAATAAATATCTTCAATAAATAGTTAATGAATTCTGAAGTTACCTGAAAGAAGTTTGATAATAAGAAAATTACCCAAAATAACTTCTATTTCACTAATTGTGTCTGGCTGCTATTATTTCACTTGGATCTAGCTGCTTTAAGTCAAAAGTTGGTTGGAGCATACATATAATTACGAGTTTTGGAAACGATAGAAGAGTAATCTATAAAAGAAAATAGGTGAACCAATATGAACAACTTTAAAACTTTCATTTTGTGCACTTATTAAAATGATACAATACTTATTATTCGCAACAAATTACTTGCACTGCATTCTACAGGATGTTTCAGGATTAAGTCGACAAACTTTAAGGAGATATTGCTCATAAAAAAAATAAGAAAAAATCAAGTATAATTTTTTTTCCAGAGACGCTTCATTTTCGAAATATAGGGTGTTAAAAGATTTTTAAAAAAATTCGAATTTTTTAAATGACTTCTAAATGAAGAAGGCTATTTAAGCCAAATTTGTCATGACACATCATCTTATAAGATATCATTTTTCCATAGAACTAGAAATCCCGCAAGCAACCAGGGGCCGGAGTTATGGGGACTCAGACTCATTAAATTATAAAAAATAATAATACGGCCCTACTGAAAATAGAAAATGATGCTGTTTTTAGATAGAACAGTTTGTTATCGACAAAAAGTGTACATTCACTTTTTTCCTAACTCTTATAGTTTCATGGCAAAATTGATTGATCTTTAACGCCCTATATTTCGAAAATGAAGCGTCTCTGGAAAAAATGTATACTTGATATTTTTCTTATTTTTTTTATGAAGAATATCTCCTTAAAGTTTGTCGACTTAATCCTGAAACACCCTGTATACATTTCTCAGTGTTGATGTAGCTGTGAATAAAATAGTAATTGCTTATTTTCGCAGATACAAACATGTTTGCTGTAAAAATACTGGTTTTATTATTTATGGGAATAAATTTATTTGGAATACTTTGGGAATAAAACAGTGTTCCAAAAAAAAATTGTTATTGTCTTATTTTTCGCATTGGTTATTAGCTGATTCGACTATTGGTCCAGACATAAGTAATAGCTTTTGTTTCAATTTAATAATTGATGGGTACAGACTATTCACACAGCAATTCATTGAAGTCGGAACAAAAATAAAATCAAATTTCCCGATGCGAGAATTTCCGTAATCCGACCTGATATTCCCGCAAATACTCTATGTGTCAGTGAAAACAAACAATTGAAACTTTAGCAATAGTATTGATTGGTTTTTGTATTATTTGCAGTGCCCCCCAATATAGACGACTCTTTGAGCAGCAGCGACGTAATCGTTAGGGAAGGGTCGAACGAAACGTTAACTTGCAAAGCCACCGGATTTCCCACACCTAGCGTTAAATGGAAGAGAGACGATAATTCCAAAATTACCATAAACAAGACACTCCAAGGTGAGCTGAATTTTCTTTTATAATTTCCTTAAATCCTCCCTCAAACCAACGTTCTTTCTCCTTCGATACTCCCTTCATTGCTTAATGCAACCTTATTTCCCTGTTACAGTCGTCGAGTGGGAAGGGGAAAAACTGGAATTGACAAAAATTTCAAGGTTGGACATGGGAGCCTACCTGTGCATAGCCAGCAATGGGATACCCCCTACTGTGAGCAAAAGGATCAAAATCAGTGTTGACTGTAAGTATTTTTATCCTTCTCAAATTAAATATAGTGTCCTATGACTTGATTTTCGAAATATGGGCCTTCAAATTTCAAAAACAAAAAAATTATAATTTTTTTAATATTTCATCAACGTGTGAAGCTTCAAAATTTTATCAATAATGCCTACACTCAGTACTTGCCATACCATGCGACACTGTAAAAAAAATCCCTCGTTTTTCACTCATTTTTACTCGATAATGTATCAATTTCTGTCCACAAACGATTGAGTGAAATTTTCGCTCTATTAGTATGAGTACAACTGAGTGAAACTATTGCATCAGAAATGAGTGAGTTTTAACTCAAATCCGAGTTACTGCTAACTATCAGTTGAGTAACTTTTGATTCTATTCTGAGTATATAAAACCAATTTAGAGTCGACTTTTTCTCTAATATGATTTAAATTGACTATTATTGAATCATTTTTTACTCAGAGTTGGTTTTTAATTAACTAAATATTGAGTGCAAAAGTAAATCACTCATAAATAATTAATTAGGATATACAGTGTTGAAATGAATTCTCTTCGCGGGGCCTCCTCCTGTCCTGGCTGAGACCCGCCAACTGAGACCCGTCGACACCGGCTAAGGCCTATTCTCGGAATTAATATACATTTAATCTCGCTCAGTAATGAGAACATTTACTCCGATTTGAATGAAAGTACTCAGTTTTAGTTTAAATATAATCACAAATGAGTAAAATGATCAAAATGCCAATATTGAGTGAAAATTTACTCAATAATTTCACTGAATGGATTCACTCCGAACCTTTATTGCTTTCAATCACACTGATTTTTTACAGTGTAGTAATTCTGCATTTCAGTTGCCAGAGCCGTAGATACGAGGAGGTCAAGTTTTTCGCAAAGTGTAATTTCTACGCCTATGACCTTTTCTAAAATATTCATTCACGTCAATTTTTCCGATTTTCTTATACCTTAGAAAATATCAAAAGAAAATGTTTTTTTTTTTCTTTACAATATCTTGTGCTCGAAAACAATGGTCTTAGGTCTATTTTCATCAATACTATGGTCTATAATGCTCTACAAAAAAGTTATAACATGGACTTAGGAAACACCCAGTACGTGTATATTTGAACTGAAACTGAATTCATTGGGTATTTGAAGAATTCGCATCACAAATTAAGAAACAAGGTCCTATAAAACAGTGCCTGGAAGCTTACACAAAAAAATTCACTCAAATTTCACTCAATTTTATTCAATAATGTAACAATTTCTGACCACACCCCATTGAGTGAAATTTTCACTGAAATATTGCATCAGAAATGAGTGAATTTTACTCAAATCAGAGTAACTATCAGTTGAGTGACTTTTGACTCTATTCTGAGTATATAAAACCAATTTAGAGGACTTTTCTTTAATGACTTTAATACAATGATATTTAAATTAAAATTTAAAGAGAATATAAATTAAGTCTCAAATTACTCATTCATTGTTAAATTTAGAGAAAAAGTTAACTTTTAATTGGATTTACATATTCAGAATAGAGTCAAAAGTCACTCGCTTCTGTTGCAATAGTTCCACTCATAAAATTTTAGTTGTACTCATACTAATAGAGTGAATATTTCACTCAATTGGATGTGAACAGAAATTGATACATTGCTGAGTAAAATTGAATTTTTTTTACTGTGTACAGGGTATTCAATTAAAAAAATGAAGATAAGTAACGTCCAAAAGAAACGAGACAGCTCATATAATTAAAAAGAGTACTAAAATGTAATGAAATTGTTTGGTCCAAGTTTCCTTCGAAACATTTTTCTGTATTGTTACCAAACCTACGAATGAATCCGTCTTAAATGTACAAGAGGCATTTGGCTGTGATTAATAAACTGTTTATTTATTTTTAAAAAATTATCAAATTATTATTTATTTAAACCAGTCTAGCATTTCGTTACTTATATCCAAATGTGCTCAACAAAAACACTTTTCCTTATTTATTTTTATTTATTCTACCACTGGTGTTCTCAGTTCCCATATTTTCTTTGACGTAACATGAAATATATCCTAATTAACAGGGCTGTCAGAACCGAGCCGCGGGGCATAGGCGTACGCATTATTTATTAAAAAGCAACAAATTAAATTGTCTACAATACACCATCATAAACACCAACGGATAGGAATTAATTACGCATCATCCGCACGATGACAAAGGCAACAGTATACTAACGTTACGTGAACGTGAACAGCAGGCAGCCGCTCGCGCATGTTTCGGTTGACCCGCTTGACACGCATTGAAATGCGGCTCTCTCTGACAGCGCTACTAATTAACTATTGATAGTCGCGCTGGTCTTCCTGTACGTATATATTTTTAACTGGTATTTATACGCTGATGGCTATCCTATATATTCGACTAAAACAAAAGTTTCGGAAAAATTCAAACGAAAAATATACCGCCGGTGAAGTCATTTGATAGCTTGGCTGATATATATGCTCGGAGATAAAGTATTTCGATGTTCCGGATTTTTATTATCCAGTTAAAATGGTAAACCTGCAATATCTGAACTGTTTAGATGTACAGTCACCGGCATAAATTAGTATCTATTGTACGGTAGGAACGAGCGTGGCAATTCGGACTGTCAACTTTACAATGGGTATCGCGAGAAGCAGAGTTGAAATTATACACACTGCAACTACAATGGTCAGCTAATGTAGAGACCATTTGTCCATGTTAAAACTGGATAGCTGCGGCTAGTTAGCATAGTCAAGGACTTTTGGAATACTTAATTATTTGCATGGTTTATTCTCCCGTCCCAGCCAAACTAAATTAGAATTGTTCTGTACAAATTATAAACATCCTATTTACTAATTGTTTATACACACTTATGTTGGGTGGACGGCAACATTTTACACTGAATTAGCAAATCTGAAAACAAAACTTCTTTGAAGCAATTTAATTACCCGTTTTAATTTAACATCCGCTGTTGTAACTTAACCCTAAACGTACAGGGTGTACGCTTTTCAATGTATACAAGTCCTTTTCTATGGATATTCTTTAGTTTATGATTTATCAAAGCCCCATCTACAATTTTAATGTACAGTTGAATATTCATTCTTACCAAGGGACTTGTTCATACTTAATACTAGATAATTTGTATATTCAGGAGGCTTAGTTAGGCTTCACTGACAATACCTTTAAATACCACGCATATATATTACATGAGATTATGTCCAATGCTAAATGGTTTTGGTTAATACGAATTGATTTGTACCCATTCACCTTTGTCCACCAACTATTTTTTCAACGTCTACGTCTGTCTAAGCGATTAGAAGAAGAACATTACTTTGAAAACAGAAACTTTTTTCACGATCAATAATGCTCGTTAACTGGCTATTCAGCATTTATTTTATATCTACGAGTATGTAACTGACAATATTTTTAATAACATGTTTAATACGTAAAAAAAAACGTATGTTCAGATTTACTAATGATATACTACCAGCAAATAGATAAACAAAAACAAACGTAATTATAGCAGAGTATAGCTTTGTTAGAATGAGACAACGATGTTGTAAATACTGGGTGTTTTCGAAAGTGGGACTTTAATTATAAGGAGTGTAGCTGATGTCAAAAATCACTGGAGTTTTAGAAATAGAAATGAAATTAATGAGATTTTTGTTTCGACCAATAGTTTCGTAGCAGCACGTACTTGATCACTGTTTATACTGTTGGAATATACAAGTTGTAAGTACAGAAAAACAGAAAGCCGACGGTAATTCGACGAAACGAGAAGTTGTTAGTATAAATGCAAACAAATAAACTATACTGATTTCAAATAAATCTACCGGTAAGATTACACGATTAAAAAAGCCAAAAATTACGACCACTCATAGCACTCTATTGCTACATCTATCATCCGAAAATAGCGTACGCTGTATGCACTTAGTGTCGCCAAATCCATTTAAAACAGCCGTAGCTATTTTAGTGTATTTAGCGTACATAGCTAGTATAGAGCCGATAAAACAATGACGCATAGCAAATGTGGTAGCTGTTTTAACGTCGCGAACATAGCTAATATAAGACAATGTGTGGTATTTTATTGGATATTGACAACGGTTCACTCTTCTATAAAAACTCAGATAAATTTTAAAGATACCTGTCACATCTATCATCCTAAAAGAGAGTAGGCTGTAGAGATTTAGTGTCGCCACATCCATTTCAAAGAACACCAGCTATTTTTAACATACTTAACGAACATAGCTAGTGTAGAACTCGGTATGGTCCTGGCGTAAAGCAATATCGCAAACTGAGTGTTTAACGTAGCGAACATAGCTAATAAATCACTGTCTGTAGCATTTTGTTGGATATTGACAACGGTAGCTATGACATTTTGTGTCGTCACATCCATTTAAAACAGTGGTAACTATTTTTAATGTACTTAGCGAACATAGCGACCATAGCTCTCTGTATGGCCCTAGCACAGAGCAATGACTTTTGACACGGATGGTAAGCATTGCAAAAATAACTAGCATAGTGCTTTGTATCGTCACTATATTGACGTAGCATGCACAGCCATCATACATGTATTTAAAACAATCGTACCTATTTGTCATGCACTTGCCGAACATAGCTACATAGTACTCTGTATGGCCATACAGCAACGTAAAGCAATGATGACTATTTTTGATACGTATGGTGAGCACTGCAAAAATAGTTAGCATAGCGCTTTGTGTTACTATATTCGCTGTTTGTAACGTGCATAGCGATCATAGCGAACAGAGCTGGCGTACCGAATCATCTATTTAAAACGATGGTAGCTATTTTTAATATACTTTACACTATATTACCCAAAGCCAACGTTAATTCGACGAATGGTCGAATATTCGTCCCTTCACTCAAATAATAGTAATTTACAAAATGAGGAATTGAATCAGTTTTCTCACTGTACGTGTAAGTTTTTCAATATAAATGCAAACAAATAAAGTATACTCATTATAAGTAAATCTGCGGGTAAGATTGCACGGTTT